GACTGTCTGAACTGTAATACTATTGACACGAGCGGGTGTTTTGTTTGCTCTCTGCTAACTCCTCCTACCACCCCTGACACTGTGTGTTAGGAATCCTACTGATCCTCCGACCACTCTTTCCGATTCATGGTCTTCCTGATAAGCCCTTACTCTGTGGAGAGGAGGTCCAGGATGAAAGGTAGGGCCCTGTGTTTAAGACAGTATGTCCGGATATCGGATCGACAGCCCGTGCAAACAGGTTCCTACAAAGTTCTTGCTGGAACGGAGATGCCCAAGGCACTTTCTCCGCCTCGGGGGCTGGAGTAGGGCAAGTTTGGAGATGAGGAGGATATTATTACTGAAAATGGGGTCAGCGCGTCTAAGCTTCTTAGCAGGAACCGCAAGGCCCCTCACCACGCGTCTCGTGCCTACCCAGACGGCATCGCCTGCTGCTTTCTCTGATTGCCCAACATAACTGATTTCCTAGATAATCGTGCTTTTTCATAGCTCCAAGTACTTACATAAGGCAACAAGCAAGAGCAAACACTTATGTTAGTGCCGCGCACGTTTCTTGTCCTTATACAGCGACACTGAGGTGGGTGTCTCATTACTGTGCCATTTTATGGGTGGGGAAACTGCCACTGCAGCTGCAGTCGAGAGAGGTTCAGTAACCTAACCAAGGTCATAAAGCCGGTAGATGACGGAGCTGGGGCCGGAGTGCTTCCAAGAACACCTTCCCCCATGTGGTCAGGTTCTCTGCTCCTGGTGCCAATTCCCCTGCTGGTACCCGCCCCACCTCCACCCACCCACCTAACAGGAGCGTCTCTCTTCCACGCGCCTGCCTCTGTCCGACCGACACCCTCCTCGACCACCTCCCCCGCAGGCTGTTGCGTCTTCGGGGACGGGACGACGTCCCACAGCACAGTGTCTGCAGCACAGCAGAGGTTGGGTCAGTGGACCTGAATGAATACTGATAGCGGATCAACAAGGCATCTCCTGAATATAAGAAGATTCAGAGCCTAAACGCAGTCAAGGAAATTTTCCAGGAGGGAATCTGGGGCAGAGGTGGAAGAGAGCCAGAGCGGGGAGTACTTCTCAATCACATCGAACTAATGCTCAGTGTTGTGGGAGTCACTTCCAGGGATACAAGGTAACATAAAGAGTAGCCCTTGCTCTGAAACGGCCTTTAGTCCAACGGGGGAGTCAGTGCTCGTCCAGAGGAGCGACAGTGTGATGGCCACCAACAACACAGACTCTGGACAGGACGCGACGGTTCAACGTTGGCTCTACGCGTTGCAGGGTGTGTGAGTTGATGTGAGTGATTTCACCTCTAGAAGCTTAAGTGTCTTCCTTTGTAAGAAGGGGATGACACTCACCTTCTTAAAGCTTTAAGGATTCAGTGAAATCACTTACTGAGAGTGATAAGCTCGTGTGTGGTCGCAACAGCAACTTGTAGCCAATCTAAGTCCTGTGACATCAACGCTGAAACGATGAAGTACCAACCGAATCCAGAGAGGGCCGAGGGATGGTGGCCACAGAAGGGAGGGCACCAGGCCACGTCCTGGAGAACGGGCCTGGTTTTCCGTGGGCGAAGGAGCGGGGGCCAGCACGTATGGTTATAGTCCACCCCTTCCATCGCCCTCCAAATTACTTCAGAGGAACAGGGAGAGAGAAGGCTTGGCAGGTACGTGCCAAGTACAGGAAGCCCTTGAGGCCAAGCAGGAGGCTTCTTGTCTGATAGCATTCCTGGTGGTTCCAGATCTTTCTGGCTCACAATCCCTTTTTACAGGCCAGGGGAGCTATGGGTTCTTTAAAAAAATGAAAATAAACATAAAATTGAACAATAATTCCTAAGACTTAGCTGTGAAGAGGGGGTAAGCCTGGGGGTTTACCTTCTGGGGACCGATCTTTAATCCCTCACTTAATAAACCTACATTTATTATTCAGTGTGCTAATCCCCCCTCCAAAATTACTTAATATGGAAGGAAAGTAGTGACAACCTTCAGTGTAACACTATACATTGAAAAAAAATGTGTTCTGTGTCACATTTTTGTGCAAGAAAAGACTCTCCCCACCCCTCAGAAACCCAAACCCCAAAACTTTATTTTGGTCCTTGAGACTAAAAAGAACTATCCTCTTCCTAACAGTAATTTGATTTCAGGCTAATTTTGGCCAGTGGAGGGGAAAAACGCTCAGCTATTTCCAATACTGATTAAATATTACACAATTCACAATTACACAATTCACAATTACACTTCACGTTACTGTATGACTTTCCAGGTTACAAAACACCCTTTAACATTCGCTCACTTTTTTTTTTTTTTTTTTAATTTTTTTTTTTTTTCAACATTTATTTATTTTTGGGACAGAGAGAGACAGAGCATGAACGGGGGAGGGGCAGAGAGAGAGGGAGACACAGAATCGGAAACAGGCTCCAGGCTCTGAGCCATCAGCCCAGAGCCTGATGCGGGGCTTGAACTCCCGGACCGTGAGATCGTGACCTGGCTGAAGTCGGACGCTTAACCGACTGCACCACCCAGGCGCCCCTCACTTAATTCTTAGTAACAACTATATGAGATAAGCATCACTCTCATTGAGCTGCTGTCCCAAGGTACACAGGAAGGGCAGAGCTCAGATACAAATACTTTTAAAACCTAAGACTCTCTGGGAATATAAGAGCTTAAGTAGCAGTGTTTCTGATGGTTCAGAAAAACACGAGAATATGGTGAGACCAAAACTAATGATACATTTCCCTCACAGATCCCTACATTTTTAAAAGAATTATGCAATTTCATAAAACACACTTTATAGTACTTATTTATAAAATAGTTTGTTTTGCAACATCAGAAAGGAAAATCACACACACAGAATCATACTTTCAGAAGCCCTAGGATACGTATTGTCAAAAATCTGCAGCCTATCAGTGTAATTTTTTGCCTGTAAATATATAGAGAGAACACAATTTTTTTTTTTTTTTTTTCCTTCAAATCAGGCTCGACACCCAGCATGGAGCCCAATGCAGGGCTTGAACTCACAACCTTGAGATCAAGACCTGAGCTGACAACAAGAGTCGGACGCTGAACCGACTGACCCACCCAGGTGTCCTGCCACACGGTCCGTTTTTAGAAAATAACACTGGGATCATATTATACGTTAGGCTTGATAAACTGCTTTCTTTTCCTTAATAGTTTGGAAATTTTTTCATATGGTTGACTAAACGTATTTTTTTACCGAAGAAAGTAATCCAAATATTAATAAATAGTGGGACGACCGGTGTCTCTGCCTTGTGCATCACAACCAAAGCTGACTGGGTCTGACTTGTTCACGTTCAGGAAGCTTCTTTGCTGACGGGAGGAGTTAATTCGCGGTAATCACTAGTGCTGGTAATAGGAACCAGCATGGGATATTTTCCATGTGACTTTAGATAAGCATGAAATTGTCTTCATCTTCCGCAACACATCAAAATAATTGGAACAAAAGGCACGTACCTTTGTTTGCTCCCCGGGCACAACCAGTTCCTTTGACTTCCCAAGATGGCTGACATTTCCTAACAAACAAACAAACAAACAAAAAAGGCCTTTTTACTCAAAGAGAAGGAAATCTCTTAAGAAATAAAAACTAAACATTTTATATCATCTACAATTAAAAAAAAAAACTTAACCCAAACGATTAAAAGAATAACTTTATTAAATATTTGTCAGTTTTAAGAAGTGCCCTCAATTACTAACCAAATAACGTATTACAAACCACTAGTTATGAGGTTTTACATTTGTTTAATAGGGAATAATTGGCCCCAATTAAACTGACTGAACTAAGGCTTTTTAGATTACTAAAACAAATTAAACTTTTTAAAATGAGAATTTAGGTGATCTTCAAACCTCTCTAAAATGGATAATGAAACTTGCTAAGTTGTAATCTCCCTGGTTTTATTAGTTATATTAAGATAAATTAAGTGAGATTAAAATCTTATTTGATTTATTTACCTTTGACAATGAAGACCGTTTAAGGGTTACACATCCTCAGCCTTGGCGAGTGCGACTCAATTAGTCAAGTCAGTGTCTTTAAAAGCTTTGTGCTTATTGCTTCCAGCATGGAGCGAGGTGTTCATTAAGGTACCAAAATTCTCATAAAAAATCCAAAGTTGCACTAGTGAAAAAACGCTCAACAAGATGAAAACTGATCACAGGTTTTTCAGAAAATCAGTATAGTTCTTTTAAAACCAGTTTTTAAACAAGATTTGGTTGTGCGTAGGTTTAACGTGTCACTCACGCAGCTTGATAACCATTTGGACTCTTTAAACAACATTTAAATCTACGGTGAGTAGAGAATGGTACATTTAATTTTATACCATTTTTTAAGTAAGTTGTACAATGTTTAGTGTGAACCCTTTTATGACAAGCGTTGTTAAATGAACTCTTTCCCTGTTTACAACTATTTATGAAGGCCTTTTTAAATAAGCAAAACATGAAATTGTTAGCTCACACACACGAAATTTCTTTCAAAAGTTTATTTAGTATCAAGCAAGAGGAGACTTTGCTTAACACTACAGAACATTTCAAGACTTGAGTTACAAAAGAATACCACATTATTTGCACTTGTAATTGGCTTCCCTTTTTACGCATGTTGGCAAGAGAAAAAAAAAAAACTAGCATATGGCTGAAAGATAAAATAACTAAATTTCTATGGAAACCTTTAAAATGAAAGGTGAGGCTTATGTTAAAAGGATGGATTAACATATTTAGTAAACCTATTTTTTTGTTTAACACTAGTTAATCAAAGTTATTTTTTTTCCTTTTGATGACCTATTTTTTTCATATACAGACTGGAAATAACAAAATTTTACATGTCTTTTTTTTTTTTTTTT